AAAGGAAATGCTTAAGAATTGCGAAGCTAAATGACTAGAATGTGTTTTGACTCTGCCAATTTACAGGAGAAGGGAGCAGCACGGAAAAGGGCGGGAGGCGGGAGATAAAGGTACGGGAAGCGGGAGAGCAGGGGGCGGGAGGCGGGAGGTTCTGACCCCCTTGTCCTCCTCTCCTCCCTCCCCCCCAACTAAACAGACTACATGAAACAAGAAGTAAATATCGTCCTGGAGTCAGCAATGTTCTTAAACATCCATGTATTGAAAGGGATCTTCTAGAGGAAGTCTTTGAGCCACTAACAACAGCACCTGTATACGCCAGCCTTCTTTTATCATTTTGAAATTCCTGTTACTGTTTCTAACTCGATTCCACCTGGAGGAATGTTTCAGTAGCATGCTACAAGAAACATGTGATCGACCGGGAACTACTAGAAACCAGATATTTACAATTTCTACGAGTGCACAAAGGATATAGATTCGGGTGGAGATGATAGTTACACTCTCTGCTCGATATATTATTGTGAAATTTTGCAAATAACTTTGTTCATCACAAGTCAAGATGCAAATAAAGCTTACCAGTAAATAATTTTGTATTTATGCTGATCTGATTCAATTTCTTACCGTGGTATTTAATTTCCTGTGTGTAAATTTGTGAGTATTTGTCAGTCGCGATGCTCTCACTGCATTTCTCGATTTTTTTGCAATCGCGAAGTTAAATATGGATCATTTAGGGACCACAATAAGCCGACAGTAGACTATCATATGATGCGCACTTTCCGAGAAAAAAAAGCAAACTTGTCAAAATCACATAACAGTGTCAACCAGTCGCATAAGAACGGGAAAAACCCCTTTTCTTATGTTTGAACAAGACTTTCGCTTCCTAATCTTGCGGTCCAAACGCACAGGCAAGAGGCTGTCGAGGCTGGAGGAATCTTGAAACTGTTCCAAAGAATTGGGAATACGTACATATACACAAGTAAGTAGATTAGGCCCGGTCCAAACGCCGCTCCACTCATGTGTCGAACCAAACTTGATAAAGTTCAACTTTAGAGCGACTTTGGAGCGACGGCTGGTTCAGACAACGTACTTGCGTCGAACTTAATTCGGGAAGCCGGTGGTAACAATTTTCGACGAGAAAATATGCCTTCTGAATTCAAGAACTCTGTCAAAATAGAAAAGCTGTGACTAACATTCCGTTGTTGTAGCAATATTTAGGGAAGCAAATTCAAACTCAAGGTTCAGTGGTTGTATTTAGACAGGTTTTCTCCCGGTTAATTCGACTTGTTAAAGGGAAATCTCATAAGCTGGGATATTATCACGGAGAAAAAGCAAAAAAAAAAAAATGTTATTGCTCTAAAGGAGCTCGCTTATACAATCCCGTTTCTCATAAATCGAAGACATACTGGTATTCTGTTGTCTTTATTTTTAATGACGACTTGGAGCATCATGTATAACTGGTCACGCTACTCAATTTTGAGCCAATCACGAGTCCAGTTATATGAAAAACACATTACAGTAATTTATGCATTAGGTTCGAAACATGAGGAGAACGCCGTATGAGTCAGCTGCCGCTACAACGTCGCATAATGCGACAGCAGGCCCTGTTGAATTTAATGTTGTTTGCCGCACCAAACCTAACCTGCCGAAGCAAACTGATTCAAACGCCGCTCTTCTGCCGTACTTAACTCATCAGTTAGGTTCAGCGCATGAATGGAGCGGCGTTTGGAACGGGCCTTAGCTCACATACTTGTTAGAATTCTACAAATCTACCTAATGAGAGGGGTTTCAGAGCACTAACGACGGCAACGCCGGGAACGACGTCTAGTCAAAACAGCATGTGAATGACATAATTTCGCGAAACGATTTCTACGAATCGGTAATCAACGAGCTCGTCAGGAAAAAATGAAGAAAGCGAAAGCGTTGCCAACAGCATTGTTTGTTTTGTTTTGTTTTGTTTTGTTTTGTTTTGTTTTGTTTTGTTTTGTTTTGTTTTGTTTTTTTTTCTAGTTTTGCCGTTTAGAGAAAGGAAGAATTCTTTCCATAATCTCAGTGTCGGGTTTATNAAAATAAACCTGAACTTCATTCGAACCTTTCTAAACAGACTACATGAAACAAGCAAACATCGTCCTGGAGTCCGCAATTTTCCTAAACATCCATGTATTGAAAGGAATCTTCTAAAGGAAGTCTTCGAGCCACCAACAACACCAGTTATATCTGCAAGCCTTCTTTTATCGTTTTGAAATTCCTGTTACTGTTTCTAACTCGATTCCACCTGGAAGAATGTCTCAGTAGAATGTTACAAGAAACATGTGACTGGCCGGAAACTACAAGAAACCAGATATTTACAGTTTGTACGAGTGTCAAAAGATTCAGGTGGAGATGATAGTTGGACTCTCTGCTCGATAAATTATTGCGAAATTTTGCAAATAACTTAATTCATCACAAGTCAAGATGCAAATGAAGCTTACCAGTGAATAATTTTGTATTTACGCTGATCTAATTCAATTTCTTACCGTGGTATTTAATTTCATGTCTTTAAATTTGTGAGTATTTGTCAGTCGCGATGCTTTCATCTTTCCATTTTTTTTTAAAATCGTGAAATTAAATATGGATCACCTAGGGACCACAGTAAGCCGACAGTAGACTATCATATGATGCGCACTTTCCGAGAAAAAAAAGCAAACATGTCAAAATCACATAACAGCGTTACCCAGTCGCATAAGAACGGGAAAAAACCATTCTCTTATGTTTGAACAAGTAAGAAGGAAGACTTTCGCTTCCTAATCTTGCGGTCCAGACGCACAGGCAAGAGGCTGTTGAGGCTGGAGGAATCTTGAAATTGTTCCAAAGAATAGCGAGTACGTCCATATACACAAGTAAGTAGATTAGCCCACATACTTGTTAGAATTCTACAAATCTACCTCATGAGACGGGTTTCAAAGCACTAACGACGGCAACGCCGGGGACGACGTCTAGTCAAAACAGCATGTGAATGACAATTTCGCGAAACGATTTTGGCTCTGGTCTGAGATTGGTAGGCAACTGGCCATATTGACGTGCTCAAAGTCAGCTCCTGTTGGGTGCTCTGCGCTTGAAAGGTACGCGCAAGATAGGAAATCTGCGATACGCATTTCTGTTCCCTTTTCGTAAAGAACTTCCAGGTCGTACTCTTGGAACCTCATAATCATGCCTTGCAGGCGTCTTGGTGCAATTGCGAGTAGCTTCTTGAGGATTGCTTCAAGAGACCTCTACTTTGACGGCATTTGTGACCCCACGCTGGGCATTTTCCTTTTTCAAACGGGCGAATTCCACCACAGAAGAGGCAGGATTTTCGTGAAATTTCATTCTTGTCATTCTTACCGTTTCTCCGCTTGCCGTGTGGAGGACGCGATCTTCCTCGGTTTTATTCGATTGACATTTTCTGATGTCTTTGTGCCTGAGATAATCTTCATTTGCGATGCACTTGTTTCAGAGCTTCTACAGATGTCGATGCACTTGTTTAGTGTAAGCTTTCGTTCTTGTAGGAGTCGTTTTCTTGTTTGCGGGTTTTGAATTCCCAAATCGATTCTGTCCCGGATAAGCGATTCTCGGATGCACTCACAGAAGTTGCATGTCTGCGAGAGGGTACGCAACGCAGCCACATATGCATCAAAGGTTTCGTCGGGTGATTGATTTCGACTGTTTCGTACGTTTGTTTCACCGCTGGTGAACTCATCGAATTTCTTTATGATGTTGTCCAACTTCTCTCTTTCTTGGGCGCTGTCAAAGGACATTCTATGAAATTTTTTTAGAGCTTCAGGTCCGATGATGTGAAGAAAAAGAACGACTTGATAGGTCTCAGGTTGTTGGTGGATATTCATTATTAACTACTTAATAACCGAGAGTGAGGTCGTTACGGGAAAATCTCAAACTGAGGCCTTGCAGTATTGACCGAGCGATAGCGAGGTCAATACGGTAGGCCGAGGTTTGAGATTTTCCCGTAACAACCGAACGGTCGAGGTTATTAAGTTGTTTATTATATGGCCCATGAATTAAAGAAAAGAAAAAAATTATTCGAGCGGAAGTCTTCAGTTTACATCCGGCGATGCGCGCGTTTACCGATTCATTCATCGTCTCAAACCCAGGGCAAAACTACACAGTCAGTGAACTTCACCACTGTATACGTATTCCGTAGAAATACACATTTCTTTACGGGAAAAGTGATTGTCACAGCCTCAAAAAGGTGTTTTAGTATCGTGGTGCCACAAGTTGATGGGAGAGTTTTTCCGACTTTTGTGGCGAAACGTCAACGCACATGGAAAAGACAGAAAGTGCTTCAAAATTGTCCAAACCAACTGTCTTTCGGTGTAACAAAATGCTAATGCTTCAGAATGCACTGCTCAGAACAGCTCGATCTTCGCACTCACTTTCGACAACATATCTTCGCTTTCTTCATTCTGGGATTTATGGATGAACATTTCAAGCCTTAATTGTGAACGTCTAAAACTTCCTGCAGTTATTAGAAACACTGCTACCAACAGAAACCGCCCGATTGTTTACATCTGATGATCCTGGAAGCTGATTTACCCTTGCTTGTGTAAAGCGAGGGAGTATATTTGATGAGAACTGTGACTGACTTTAATATTTCTGTAATTGTTGTGACTAAGATGATATCTTATAAGTTTCTTCGTTATGTTCTGCTCAGGATGAATGACAGATCTGCCGATCTCACTTAGCGATTTTAGCATTACTTAAGACTCGGCAAACTTTGGTTATTTTTCACTAGTGCCCGCCAAAGTTACCGGCTGGTAAGTCACAAACGACTTCTATATAAATTTTATTAAGGAATAATCTCTAAACTTTTAGCTACTTACTTTCTCTTACTGTTTTAAATCGGCNGGGCTCTTCCTAATTTGCATAATCCGTAATCGGCCCGTGGGCATTACGGCTGCATAATGACCGTTCAGATATCGCTTTTAGCCAATCAGAGCGCGCGTTATATCGGCCACAAGCCAAAGCCATATAATAAAATTGCGTAATTCCCCTATGCTTGCTTGAAGGTCTTCCAGTTTTCTGCGACATTCTCTTTAACGTCGAGATGACTCGGCAGGTGAATTCCTTGAATAGGGAAGGCTTCTATCTGTGCGGGGATCGTCACACGCGCAATAGTACTGGTAGTTGTCGCCATCGACGCCTGTAGCTTTACTGGCGGTGATGAGGTTGTTGAAGTACCTCCTGAAGTAGTGAAGTTTGGAATCCGTTGCCACCATGTTACAATTCGTGTTCTAAACGGGACACGCACATTAACATGGGATGAACGAAGTGTCTTTATTTAGGCGAGGGTCTCATACTTTGATGTGTCACACGTCATTCGCTTATCTCGAGATTACATCTTGTAACAGACATATCGAGAGAGACATTTCAAATCGTGAAATGACGTCATAATATCCACACGCTGCCGTCTACAATTTTTAACTTCCTGTTTCGTTTTGAACTAATTTGTCGGCGTAGTACTGTGTTCTGTCGGCTTTGGACCTCAGTGACTGCAGGTTCGTTAATGGTTCTAATTTGTACTTAGAAAGGGCTGGATATGATAATTTAGTTTAGTAATTGTATGGATTTAATCAAGACACTCCTTCGTAGACCGTGTGGGTACCTCTTCATGCAGAACTCTCAGCCTTGAGTTGATATTTCAACAACTGAGGAAAATCCGGCAAAATAGCAGAGCGCTAAATTCGTTTGCATGAGCCTCCCACTCAGTGCACGAGGCTTCCGAGCTCTGTACTAGCCAACATCCTTTTGACATTATTACGGTTGTTTGCCCGTCGCTCTTATACGAAGTGAATGACGCCATCGTCAGATCACGGAACAACTGACTTCGAAAATATTGTCCTTTGGGTCAGGCTCAATTTGTCAAGCTCAAGTTAGTAGCGTCATTTCATCGTTCTAATAAGAACTTTATTTAGTCAGGAGTCGTTTTTGAGTGGGGCAGAAGGCCTTTGATGCTTCAAGCAGCAAGAACGACTGTTTAGGGTGGAAAGTGCAATAGATGACACACCAGAACAAAGTGATTAGCAGTTCTTTACAAGTTAATGTGGTAATATTCTTAAGTGACGTGAAAATATTTAAGCAAAGAAATAATCGTAATAGAGTAACTTCATACGACGTTTCGACGACTCCATGTCATCATTGTCGAATGAATAGATCGAAAATAAAAATAACGGCGAGGCATATTTATAGTACTTAGAATGTGAGAAGATAAATCAGCAAAACGTTCAAGTAAAAAGTTCCGCACGTATGGAATTCGCTTGCTTGTAAATATATAAACACAATTTATAATGCTCTAAAACATTTTGTATAACAAACAGAATGCATTTTTAGAACATTAATCTACATGATAAACGGGGTCGACCGCGCGAGACTTGGAGAAGGACTGTCGAAAGGGAGCTGGAAAAGGAAGGTTTAAGATCATGGGCAGCAGCAGCATCGGCTGCGAAGGACAGAACAGCCTGGAGGCAGAGAGCTTACGGCCCAATTCTCCACTTGGAGAACGGATAAAGGATGATAATGAATCTACATGATAAAATTTTTTAACAGATTTTTTTTTAGGTTTTCAACCTTTTCAGATCATCGTTTGGAGTAGTAAGAACCTAGAGATAAACCTGCGAATGAGGGTGTCACTATCAAGCGACGAAGCAATGAACAATCCTTTTGCCCCAACTTATTCTAATCTGAAATTCGACTAACGGCTATGCCTCTTAATTAACCTCCCGCTGACATTTTCGATGTGCACTCATTGCTGAAATAGTCGAGCCATTTATAATTTTAGGCGACAAGCGTAGAACAAGAGTTTTGCGATCCTTCGTCTTTTAAATTTGGAACACGTTTATTCATAGCGAAACCCAGCTGTTTCTTGTAGGTGAGATAATTAGCTAGAATAGATAGATTTTACATTTGCCATGTAGCTAAGATTCTTGCAAAGGACTACTCTGTTCTGTTTCTTTTTGGTGAAATTGATACTTTTGTGTGAAAACGCCTCGCAACTTTTCTTAGTTCCTTAAGAGCCTGGCATTTGTTAACATTGTTTTACTTTTTATCATAGGGAGGAAGAGGATTTCCGATATAGCCATGAGTTCCATGTGGTGCTGGATTTGTTTGCTGTTTTTCCTGGCACTTGTAAACATGGAAATTATTACCATCAATAAAGGTAAATGGATGTAACAAATTCATGACCAACAGGCTGTTAAGAAAGACCCCCCTTAACGACAATATAATGATGATGATGATGATGATGATGATGATGATGTTCAAAATAATGAACGAAACGATGCGTGATTCAGACACTTAAGACGCTTAATTGTTTCAGTAGACTTGAGGGAGGGGATAGAGAAAAATAGCTTTTAATTTGAGGACGAATTTTCGCCAATGAAATTTTCCCGTTTTTAGCGTCACTGATGAAATGTTGTTTAGCCTTGGGCAAAATTTTGGAATTATGCCAGCTTGTTGTTAGTATATGGTTAGTTTCACCCGTTAGCCGGTTATTAACTGAAGAGTTAATTCGTCTGATTTGTTTTGATAGGGAAACGCCAAGCAAAAGTTTTACTTTCTTCAGAACTTCACTATCTAGCCAAGCAATGTACGGAAGAAAAGCACGCCTTCGTTGCCAGCGACTCCGTGGAACGTTTTACAAAACTCTTGGGTACTATTGGAGGTTGTGATGGGAGTGAAAAGTGCGCCATTGAAAATGTCCAAGTGGAATGCGAAGAACGGAGCGTTACTCTTCGCCGAACGGACATAGTTGGTATCAAACAGGCTTCTAAAGTTCCTGTTACGGTGAAATTCGCTTTAAGAGTCCCACTGCCAAGCAACACATCCGTGGTTAGTCTGAACCAGACAACTCAACAGGTATCAAGTAACATTCTAGCATCCCTGAATGAAACAGACCTGACTTTGAACATCAGTGGAGTTGTGTTGGAATATGACCCATCAAAACCACCGGTGGTACGAATAGTTGGTCTTGTTTGTGACAAAGGGCAACTTCCTAAAGGGACAAAGTGTGGTAAGACCTGAATATAAGCAACTAAAACTCTTGTTTGTTTTTATCCTATTACGTTCAAATTTGAGATCCAAGATTTTTGTATACGCCTTATCTTGTGCTGACGACCTGAAGATTCCTTACACCTTTGTCATTAGTTCATATTTTTGCAGTTGCGGTCAGAGAGACGGGAAGTTTGAATTAAGGAAAGATTTCGCTTCCCCAACGGTATATCATTTAGGGGTCGGCTTTTTTCTTCATATTTATTACATGGTTGTGTCTCACAAGGACCGGAACTACTGAATATTTGAATTTGAGTGGTTGAAATTGACTTTTACCGCGGTCAAGATTTTCCCATTTAGACCGGCATCAAGACCGGTAACATTTTGCGGTGAAAAAGTTGCAAACTAAAATACAAGAATATTGACAATTTTCTTTTAAAAATGTTAGTGAAGGTGCCAAAAAAGTCTGATGAGGAATAAAGGTAAAGGGAACGAGAAAACTTTGGCAGATTTAAGTTCAGCTCATCGCCGTTCGCATGCAAAATTAGTCAGCTAGTATAAGCCACAGTTACGTTAAACAAATTAATTTTTTATTGTTTGCTCCAAAACGCCGGTGAATGACTTCCCTTGGGAAGGTTTGAGAGTTTGAAAATTTGGGCAAGCTTAGTCGATCTGTATGGAAGAACCTTGACTTGTTCGCGTGTACAGACCTCACTGTGTTCGGTCTGTACTCACAACCTCGGTCAAGATTCTTCCATATAGACCTCCTGCTCGGTCAGCAAGAGGTTTTAAAATGCGTGCCCATGTGCGATGCCATTACGCTATTTTGATTACTAAGAAAGAGGGTTCCGGGTAAGTGAATGAATGAGTGAGTGAGTGAGTGAGTGAGTGAGTGAGTGAGTAAGTGAGCGAAAGTAAAACCTTTTATTTAAGTGTCAATGTGTCTAGCCTGCATAGACTAATTGGGGACACTGGTAAAAAAAAAGCGGCGTTAATAGACATACGGTACTTATAAAATAAGTGCCGTATGGGTAAGCATGTGTTTGTTTAGAGGCACGTGAAAGCGAGCGTCGGGTTTCTTCTGCAAAAACAGTGTGCTTTCAGTATGATTTTCTGGCGATGGGGAGTAATACATTGAGTTATGTATTATTCAAGAGATAGAAAACATGTACGGTGTTTCTATCGAATACTAGGAACACGAGAAAAACACGAGAACGAGAAATCCTGTGGGAACACAAGGCGAATGTTTCTACAGCTTTTTCAAGCTCCCCCAAACTTTCACGAATGTTTTTATAACTCGAGAACACAGCGACGAATAATGACAATGATAATGATAATGANTGACAATGACAATGACAATGACAATGACAATGACAATGACAATGACAATGACAATGATAATGACAATGATAATGATAATGATAATGATAATAAAAACACTTGTTTACTTTGTTTATCAAAATGTAAATTATCTTTGCTCGCGCCAGCACAGGAGCATTATGTTTACAACTCGTGCTTGTCCTGTGTTTCTATTCAACAATTAGATTATGAGTTCGAGATTTCTATGAGGTGATAGTTGATGAGGCCGAATTAGAATTCCTGAGAAGACTGAAAGAAGTACATAAACGGTTTCTTGACTTTAAAAACTCGAAATTATTGAAAAGACGGGTGCGCGCGTAAGCAACTGCAAATTTCCCAAGGACAATTCAATACGTGCAATTTAGTTAAAGCGTAAAGTTCAATAATGCGTCAAAAAATAAATGAAAACCATTATTTGCGTTAATTTCAGTTAAAATTCTACTGAAACAATTAGAATTTTCGCTCGAGATTCCTGTGAGTTGATAGTTGATTCGGTTTTCAGCCTCATAAACTATCACCTCATAGCAATCCCCAGCTCTTAACATTTAGCACGCGTAATTTCTTAGGGCTGTTTTCTAATTCTGCGTAGGCGAGTCATAGGAATGTCAAGAGGCGAATCTTTGCCGACGTCATATGTTGTTTACATTTTTCCTCATTAACATACGACTTTGCGCATAGAAGGCATCATGCTAGACACGATTTTACTAGAAAAACTTTAAGAGCTTGTGAAACTTAGTAAGTGGTGAAATTTTTGGCTCTTTGGGTGTAATATTCGAGGAGAAATTGGCTTTCAAAATCATCAAAATTTCTGTTTGGCAAAAGCGCTAATGAGCTCATACATTCTTTGTAAAATTGTGAGCTTTGAAACCCTCGTCGCACAAAAAGTATCCAATACATCGCGCTCAAATTCCCTGAGACAGTTTATCGCGCGGTGCCCTTTCAATATTCAGTATTAATCTCTTTGTAGCTCCATCAGAAACTGTATCGCTTATGGTAATGAGGCAAATATTGTAAACAAAGATTCTCCTAT